GGTAACCCAATCGGTGGAGTTGGTCACGCGATTCGTGCTTCCCGCGTCCGATTTGGGCTTACTCGCGATCTCTCGAAGACGTCCTCGTCGTTACACATTTCTCCTGACAGGCAATATCGTTCGCTCAGACTATTATTATCGTCGCGGAAACCCCAAATTTCTGCACGTTAAAGACCATCCACGTCTCCAAAGACACGAAGAGAGTGAACGGACGTGTATAGTCATGCTGGCTATTGAACAAGTTGCTCGCCAGAATAAAACAACAAAACCACAAAATGACAAATCTAGAGAGCACTTTGAGAGTGCGATCAAGGCTATGGAAGCAACAATTAATGACATCGTGCCCCATTTCGAGGTTGCGGTACTACAAAGTGAGGCACTTTGAGACAATTTCATCAAAAATATTCCCAGGAAGAAAGTGCCACAGGATAAAACCAATGGTAAAAATTGGAAGCTTATGGAAAGTAAAAAATTATGTAGAGACATGTAGGGATGAGAAATGTCCCCATTTTCCTAGCAAGATTGCAAAAAGAATAGAAATATCCACATGTTTAAATGGCAACATTGGTTTCCTTGTTTACACAAAAATCCACAGAAGATGTAGGCAACTCAGGCATCAGAACTCATCCCATCTCAACATTACCTTCGAGGCATACCATGCTCTGGAAACATTCTCTTCCCTACATCCCTGACGGCATCTTCCGCCGCGGAATTTCTATGTGTGAAAATGTACCCTTCAGATGAACTTTTAACTTTTTCTGTTGCAATCTGGTTTTAGTAGGTCGTGTTTGTACAGGCTCCAACTGACGAATTTCTTTGCGAACTTCTTTTTGTGTTCTAGTCAATTTTACTGGTCGATGACCTGGTTTCTCGGTAATCGGTGCATTGGTTTTCTGTAATTCATAGTATTTGAAACACTGGTCTATTTCTTTACCATTGGCGTATGCTACTATGAATCGATAGCCATCGACATTGACTATATGGTATACTTCATCAGACCATTTTGCCTCATATCCTTTTTTGAAAATATCCCATTTGAGTAATATTCTTACATGGTCGCCAATGTCAAACTTCTTGAAATCACTTACAGCCTTGCTATTATCGCGCACATAATCACCATCAGCAACATTGACAGGTGCCTTTTTCAATAGACTGTGATATGAAGTATTGTAGTTCATAACAAGGTCAGGAAGAGCATCTATGTAGCGCTTAGTTTTAAATATGGTCATGTATCTGGAGATAACACTTTTCAGTGTACAATTAAACCTTTCGACCAGACCCATATGGTTATGGTCAGCAACTTCAGCCATGTAATGGTTTATACCATACTTATAGAGCAATTGCTCAAAAACAATGTTGTTGTACTCTGAACCCCTATCAGTCGTGATATTTTTAGGACGCCGCCTAGCGAGTAACTTTGTAAAACAATCAGCAATCTTTTCTCTGGTTTTATTCTTGAGAGGAAAAACAAAGGCATAACGAGAGTACATGTCTACAATACATAACAGATAATGGTAACCGTTGTTGTAGGTAGCATATTTCTGCATGTCGCACAAATCCGATTGCCATATGTGATCAACACCATTGGCTGTTATATGCATGTAGTTAGGCTTGACAAGAGGTTTGTGTACTTGTTGCACATGCTGACTGTCGATGAATGTCTTTATATCCTTTCTGGAAATACCCTGATCCTTGAGTCTCTGGTAGAGCTTTTCTACGCTCTGAAGTCCAGTCTTGGGATCATAGTAAACTTTCTTGATTAGTTCGGTTTTTGTCCCCATTTTAAAAACCGAAAGGAAGTGTCTCTATGACCTTAGACTCAGAGTTAAATTCTTGAACCACACGTTTGTTGTAGACAAACTTGTACTTTTTGCTGGGTAAGTTATTTTTTTCTGGTATGATGATCTTTGTCTTGTTACGCACACTGTGTGTTTTACTAATGTTGATTTCGCTAAAGTTAAAATTAACACAACTCTCTTTCTCAATCCCTTCATCATCAATGTACCTAGGGTTAAATACTATATCCTTCATAGACTCATGTCCAAGATTGAGTCCATTTTCATATGAAAGTGTGAAGCCTTTACAGACCGTCTTTGCTCTCCCTGTTTTGTTGAGAATGTAAGAGTAATTCTTAGCGCCACCTGAAACAAATTCTACAATATGGTCGCCTTTCAATTCATCTGTCAGGTCTCCAAGATAATTACCATAGGGCAAAGTCTTTTCAGTTGATCCTATATCATCATCAACATATATAATAGAATCAGTATCATAGTACAACACCTTTTCCCCTACAGTATCCAGAACACTGTAAAGTTTACAATGAGCCAAAGCGGTAGTGTATGCAGCAATGAAAATACTAGTATTCTTGTCATCACGAACAGCAGCCTTATGCAAGGAGTATGACAGATCCAAAGTGCGACCATTATCATAATCAACTATGTCATGTACGATATATTTAGCATTGAACATGATGGAGTAGTATTCATCAGGATTTTCCTCAGCATTGATCGTGATATGCTTACGCATGTTGTTCTTTTGACCGAATTTACCCCACAATGAATTGAGCATCAACTTAGCCACGAGACGTAATCCTTCATTGTAGACAATTTTGGCTGGATCAAGACGAATACCTTGCTTGCTTTTGTAGTCGTCAATATACTTTTTTCTGTCGTCATCATTTTTACACCATTTAGGGTACCCTGATGCTTCCTGCTTGATTTTGAGAAATGTGAAGATGTAATCTTTGAAAAGATCAGATCCCGTATTTTCGAAATGAAGAACCTCATAAACTTGAGAAATGACATAGCCCTTTGAAAGCACTAACTTCACTTCTGGAATGCACCAAGTCCCAACAAAAGCCCTCTGTTCAACAGAGTGGCGACAAACAGAGATACCTTTTTCAGCACAATTCTTACAAAGAACAAACATGGTCTTGTTGTTAATCTTATCAGGAAGTACAGGGTGATATAACCCACGAGGGGGTACTATTCGACACTTGATGAAACCATTGTAGTTCAGTTGGCCATCAAAGTTGTTAAGAATCCTTGTGGGGAACGAGTAGCATGGGTACTCTCCAAAAGCATTTACCCAAGGATACTGTGATGTAAAATCGCAGTATTTCACTCTTTCCTTCTCAGAACATTTGTAGTAAAGTTTGCTGGCATTTGTTCTACCACCAAAAAATGCGTTACGAGGATCTAGAGGTCGGATATATTCAATGTCGAGGTCTTTACTCATAACATAATCACATATCTTCTTGTTT